ACTACACACACACACACACACACTATATATATATATATATAGTATAGACACACACACACACACACACATATATATATATATATATGTATAGACACACACACACACACACACTCTCTCTCTCTCTCTCACACACTCTTATATATATAAATATATATATATATATATATTATATTTATATTAGTCACATGTGTAATATATATTTACTATAGATGCTTTTAATGCTCGAAACCAGTTCTTCGCTTTAGGTGTAGGAAATATCAAGCGCCCACTTTGAATTTCTTTTTGTTTCTCGCGACAGGTCTTCATTCATGTTCCATTTCTTTTCAAACATAGTTAAAGGATGACCCATGCAACGCCTGGAGCCCGTTACTAGGTTATGTAGTAGCACAGTTTGTTGGATACAGTATCATGGATACCATGCTGCTTTTGTCGTACTATGACCTTAGAGGCAGGCCGTGGGATATTTTGTTGCACCATGCGGTTGTGGGCAGCCTAGCGATCATTCCATTCATCTATCGGCGCTTTGGAATGGTTGTCAGCTTATAGTAAGTATTTCTCGATTCCATGATGGCTTGATTTTATTTTCCATTCATCAAAGCAAACTTTTTTTTGGTTAAACGGCCATCTTAGAAGTGCTACATCCTCACGCCACGGCGATTTGCATGTTGGTGCTGAAAGTGCTATTATTACATTTCCGTCGCAACATTTCCACACGCTTATTTACAAGTCATATACATAATTTCAGTTGAGTAAATTTAGTCTAGTTTAGTTTAGAGACCCTATATAGGCTGTTAACTGGCATGAGAGGCGGTTTATATTATATGATGTTGCGTTTGCTTGCATGGCACCCTTATTAGATCTATGCCCAGAGATTCTGGTTCAATAAGTACTAATATTGAAAACATGCTTCCTACCATATCAGCATCATCAACGAACTATCAACGCCGTTCCTCAATCTGATGCATATGATGAAGGTAAGTTAGGGGTTGCATGTCGACACAACTTCACGAGGTGATCTAGCAATATATTTTTTGATAGATAAGATCATAACGGCTGGTGGGCGTGGCAGTCAGATGTACTTTACAAATGCTGTGGGGTGCTGTTGGTGGCAGACGAAGTCCGGGCAAGGATAATAGTTGGAAGCACTTTGCTCAATTCCAAACGATGACAATCCAGGTTGTGCTGTTGACTTGGAAAAAACTTCCTCATTCGTATAATACTACACTATCTCTACTCATGCACGATAGAGACGGTAGGAAAACCGCATGCAGTATAGAAAATAATTCCTTTACAGTCCCATGCCTACAGTCACTCTGTACTTCCAAGTCTTGATTGAGGATTTAGATGTTTGCAATGGTTTTGATTTCAAAAGACTCAATATTAGCGGCTTCATTCAGGTTAAAGCACACGCTTAGAACGTTGATAGTGGGAAAGCAAGGGCGGTACATGGACTGGGGACGGGGTGAGGTTCTAGACGCTAGGTTTTCAACCCAACTTTGAATGCTGCAAAGAGCCTATTCCGATATTTGTGTCTGGAAACAGCGTAGAAAATCACGAACTACCCAACTTGCCGCCCAGTGGTGTACACGCACTCCGACTCAGTGTACTCCTTATCGGTTGTGTTCTATTGTTTTAAAACCCAATTTCTCCGATTTAGAGCGCCGAGGTGCCCAAGAATGCGCCTGTTGTTGTGATCAACCAAGTCGTGTTTGCGGTCGTTTTCTTCCTCTGCCGATGCATACCAAATCCATTTGTGGTGCTCTCCTTGGTGTATCACAAGGCCTACTACACACAGGTAATGTAAATGGATATGTGATGTATAATGTTACTCTTGGCGCATATGGCGATCAAGCAGTCGTGAGCGTATTTTCTAGCTGCCCTCGTAGCTTCTCGCTCCGTACATTCCAAGCAAGCCCATAACAGTTCCCGCAGGCGGTTTGTAGCATACTACATACAACGAATTAAGAAAACTTGTTTGATACTCTAGGCTCCGGGACTTGTATTGGTGGGTGGATTTCTAACCATTTCATTCGCTGGGTTGCAACTTTATTGGTTCGCGTATATCGTCAAAATGGGCCAAAAAGCCGTGAAAATGTTAGATGATCCTGACACGAGAAAGAAGGACTGACAACCACGACATGCAAATAGATATGTAAATAAACTGTAGATATAATTATAATGCTGTCTCCCTCGTCAGGTTAGGGAGACCTTGGCCCTTTCAGCGTATTCTGATGTGAGCGTGCACTCGCACAGGCCGACTTTGAGGTCTATTAAAAATGACATTCCTGGGTAGAGTGTCGTGATTGATCGCACGATATGATACGTCTTAAATCAACACCACAAACACGTTGCCCCTCGGTGTAGCGTACGTTGAATAAACAAGGGAAGTGATGGTAGATATATGGCAGAAGATCATAGCGTGCAAGACAGCCCCCAAGTAATCCGCTGGGAGAGGTGTGGTGATGAACACTTTTCGAATTTTTCAGTTTTCGTACGACGATCCAATGTTACAATTAATTGCTATAGTAACCAGTGGCTGTGTAAAACTTCACATAACTTAAAATTCAATATGGGAAGAAGCGAGACATGGGAGTATACTGACCGGATCGCTATTCATTCGCGACAGCCTTTCATGGTTGCAATGGAATCTCGCTACTTGGTTACGTCCACAGTCGACGGATAAGCTCCTGAAGAATAATGAGGAACCCATGAGGAGTGATAATGTCTCAGCGGGCATGTAAACATTCCCCTCACCTATCGAACATTGCAACATCTTTTTGGCAATACGCGTTATAAAGCGACGCCATCTCATTTACCCCCAAACCGAGCTGTGTATTGGGAAGAACGAGGCAGAGGCAACAGTCAGAATATGCCACCTTACAACAACAGGTGATCCACGGACACAATTGTCTCATCTCACCGACATTCAGCGTTTTTAAACAATATCAGGTTGACTGAGAAATGAATATACACAACTCCAGATTTCTAAATCAACTCCCACTCTTAGATGTTTCTCTTAATTCTGCCGAGGCTTCTTTAAACGGGCAAGCCTTGATATACAGCTTCAAAGACGACTGTAGTAGATATCGAACCAGAATGAGGGTTTGTCAGCCAACACCGTGATTCTCACTCAGATTGATTTGGTGTCACTCATTGGTCTATTTTACAATACCCTGAGCATTGCGCTTCACTTACCGTTATTTGAAGAGTACCCAATGCGCCTTTCGACGTCAACATGTCTAGGTGTAGCAAAGGTCGTATTATTCTTCCATTGCGCACCAGCCAACGAGTCTTCGGCTTGCTCCTTCCTTATCTGTGATTGACGAATGCATACAGATCTGAGCACAAGTCTTGCTCTCACAGTAAAATGGCACATTATATTAAAACTGACATGAAATAAATTTCAACGATATACGTGCTATTTTATGTATAGTTGTATATACAAAGAGAAAACACCAAATTTATACATATGTAATAGATTATATATAAACATGTATATATATAAATATACATACATACATACATACACACACACACACACAAACACACATATATATACGTATATATATATGTATATATATATACATACAAATATACATACATACATATGTATGTATATATATATACATATAATATACATACATACATATATATATATATATATATATATCTACATATACTATATATATATATTAGTTTTTACACATACATACACACACACACACATATATATATATAAAATTCATATACCTAATTATAAGAGATGTTTATGTATATGTACATAATTTGGAGCTATATACATATATACACACACAAACAAACACACACACACATATATATATATACATATAATATTCATAAATCTAATTGTGAACAGATATTTATGTATATGTACATAACTTCGATAGATACACAGCTATATACATATATACATACTTATATATATATATATATTTATATATAAATATATAAATATATATATAAATATAATTATATATATAGATAGATATAAATATAGATATATAAAGACATTTATATATATATACATATATACATAATATACTTATATATATAAACACACATACATATATAATAAAATATATAAATACACACACACACACAAATATATATATATATTTATATATATACATGTATACATACTTCTATACATATATATATATATATAGAAGAATAAATCATATAT